TGACAAGTGATTTGTCCGGTTGTCAGGCTCACGTCTCCCATGCGCTGCGCTTTGCTGTGAGCATGAAGGAGAAGCAGGCACGTCTGTGCCATTGTTTGGACGCAAGCCATCAACATGGGTAATTCTTGCAAGCCGCCGCAAGTTGCTTTTTGACAAGAGGCATGAGGTCTTCCATCTCCGTTATGCTTCTCTTGGATTCGGGGGCTCAGATTGAGCGTGTCTTGCAAGGCTTTGGGCTACGCGCTGATCGAAGCCTGGCGACTCTGCGGTGACATGCTGTCCAGCCGCGCAGGCAAGGGCACAGAGAGGGTGACTTGTTGCACCCGCAGGCACTCTGATGCTACAGTTCAGGTGGTTACGTGTTTCTGTGCTTAACATGCTTTTGCTCGTCTTTACTCGCTTCTTTCTTTGCGTCGACTGTCTACCCGCTCGCCTCTCTTTCGTCAACTTGTCGTCGTCACCTCAACGCAGTCAACTCAATCGCCTCCTTGTGTCAACTTGCCTTGCTTTGGCCTCACTCTGGCCTATACGCTTGTCCTTGCACGAGTCGACCTCCATCAATGCCCAACGGAGGGAGAGAAACAACCACACCAATGCACAAACACACACACACACATGAACACACACACACAAACACAACACACACACACATGCCAAACACACCAAACACACAAAGCACACGAAACACACAAAACACAAAGCACACAAAACACAACACACAAAAGGCACAAAACAAAAACACACAAAACACGCTAGACGCACCAAACGCACGAAGCACAGAAAGCGACAACAACACACGCACACACACACACACCACGCACAAGAAGTAAAAGACACACGAAGCTCACACAACACACCAGACGCTTGACCCGGTCAAAACGCTCAAAGCGCACAAAGCGCACAACACTTGCACAACACTTGCACAATGCACAAAGCGCGCAAAACGCGCCAGCCGGGCCAAACTTGCAAAACACGCATACACAAAACACACAAAACACACAAACACGCAAACCGCACAAAACACAACACACACACACACACACACCAAAGCGCACGCAAAACACACAAAGCACACAAAACGCACAAAACTTACAAACGCGCAAAATGCACAAAACACAAACACACACACACACACAACGCGCAAAGCACACATCACACGAAACACAAATCAAAACACAAAACACACGAGACAAACCAGACAACACACAACGCAAAACACAACACACAACACACAACATACAACACACAGTACAAAGCTCACAGAACACAGAGCACAAAGCACACAACACAAAGCACACAACACAAATCACAACACAAAGCACAAATACAAGAGCAAACCACAAAGCTGCTGCCCAATCGCACATCTTCAAGCCAGCAAACCCGGGCAGAACCATACCGATAAGGAGACTGCACAAATTCTTTCACGTGAGGCAGGCAGCGTGTCGTTTGGATGTAACTTGTATCTTGAAGCGCAAGATCTGCCTGTAGGAATTCTTTCAACCAAGATGTCTGCATTTGGGAGCGCAAGATATCTACTGGCTTTGGCCCATTCTTCTCATCATTCACTTGCTTCATTGCCAGACATCCCATCGTCCTATCATACCGGCGAGGCGCCATGCAAGAGCTGGCGCGTGTGGTGGGAGATGCCCGGCAATTGCAACCTGGCCGGACCTTTGTTTTCCCATAGGTTCACAGGAGGCACGATTCAAGGTTGTGGGTTTGTCTCAAAGTTGAAGCCCCAAAATGCTCGACTTCCTTTTGGATCCAACCTGACCAAAAGGCGACTGAATATGACGTTTCGGTTGTTTCCTGTATGACACGTGGTTGTTTCCTGGGTGGGAAGTGGTAGGTACCTGGAGCTGGTGGTGGAGAAGTCCTGCGCCCACACCGGCCTGGCCAAGCTGATGATGTGGCAGATCTACGAGCAGCGCCTTGGAGAAGCCAGAAGAGCCCGGTCGGGGAGGAGCCTCAAGATGGGCGTTGGGGGGTTTGGTTTTCTGAGTTCAAATTTTCAACGCGAACCAGGAGAAGGTCCGCCGGGCTCAGCATCTACGTGCTCCAACCCGGAAACTGACAAATCCCAGGAACAGGGGAATGAACAGGGGCAAAGGTCTTTTTGTCGCCTTTCCAAACGATCGGCGCCCGTGAGAAATGGGAAATCTTTCAGCAGAAGCCATTTCTAAGCCAGTGGAATGGGCGAGTTGCTTTGCTGGCTGGTTTGGTCGGCTTGAGGGCTTTGTCTCTTGAGTCTATGTACTTTGTTTCGGTTTGCTGCAGGCGTTTGGTTGCCCAATCCCTGGGAAGCTGTCGAGCGCTCCAGGCACAGCTGCTTCGCCACAGGTGGGGACCAAGCGCTCGCGCTAGCTGTTTGCCTTCGTTCGGTCACTGATGCATGTCATACATTTTGGTTGCGTCGAGCCAGACATGACGTATCTTAGCCACCAGTTCTGGAATATGAAGCTGACAAGTGCCAAGCATCCGGGTACATTTGCCAATCGTCCAACTTTGACCCGGGCTTCGACGAGTTGTTCACAATTCCAAGAACAGAGCGAACATCTCCTTGGCCCTGTTAGCCCTGAAAGCTCTTGCATCATACAACGAGTACGGCTGACCAGCAGAGGCTCTCAGACCTGTTGTCTGCCTCACCTTGTCTGATCTCGCCCGCCTGTGATGAACACTGAGTCTAGATGTTGATATACACAGCAGGATGCATGTCGTCTTCTTTGCACATCGATGCAAAGCCGATGGCATACACCTGCTCGACCCTTTGCAAATGTAACGCAGAGCCTGCATGTCAGCCAGTGCAGGCATCCGCGCTGACTGGGCAGAGAATGTGCGCTCTCCCAGTTTCCAGGCGGACGTGCAGGCAAGGCCAAAGTGATTCTACCGGATGAAACCAGTCGGCGTCACCGGTGTGCGTGGAAAAGGAGGGGGAAGCGGCACTTGATTCTAGTCGTTCATTTGGCTATGACTTTTAATAGGGAACCACCTCAGAAGTGGTTGGTAGACATGAATCCCTTACGCGAGTCCACCAAAGGGTCCCTATTGAAATGCACATTTGCTGCGGTTTGCTTAAACATCCGCCGTCTTAGCACTACCGTGTTCTGGCTAAGTGTTGGTTGGTCAGGTAGGGCTTGAGACTGAAACATGAGCGGGTCTGCCAAAAGCTTTTGGTTGTCAAATTTGCTGACTCTCCTAGCCATGCCCATGGCGGACATGCTCAATCTTTCTCACCTCGCAAAGCTTCACTTTAAAATCCTCACAGTTGCCACACCTTTTGCCCAGTGTTTCTTCATCGAAAGTTTGGAAAGGTGCCACGCCTCCAGACTGTTTGTTCGGGGCGGCATGGAAAGAGCTGGCAGGATACCAACAACTTGGAAGGGTAGTTTGCTTCCTTTTGGTTTCCCTTTTCAAATCCCAAAAGGGAAGCCTCAAAACGCAGAGCTTCCGAGTTCCGCATTTCTTTCACTCGATCCTGTGCGAGCCTGCGCTTCGATCAGGCCTTCTTGGACCTGATCGGGGCGCGGCAGAAGCAGACGGGCAGCCAGGTCCTGTCCCGGGAGTTGGAGGCCTGACCCATGGCATCTGCCGGGTTAGCTTGGGGGAACGTTGGGGCAAATTTGTGCAGCGCAGGCAAGCCGTGTCGTACTGGCCATGATTTTTTGATAGGATCCAAATCAAAAGTGGCGTTTGGACATAACGATAGCTAAGGAGAATGAAGGAGAATCAAAGAATCAAAGGCTCTTTGGGGCATCCCCACCTAAAATGTCAACCAAAGGGTCCAGGTAGAATTCACACCCATCTTTGTGTCCTGGTGCGGACGTGTCTTCGGTCGGATCGACAGCGAGCCAAAAGGTGGTGGAGATTCAGCCGGTGGCCCACGGCACCTCCATGCAGGCGTACTTGGCGCGGCGCGAGGAGCTGAAGGTCGGCGATCCGGATGTTCGATGCGAGATGGATTCGCGGTACAAACGAACGGCTTTGGAAGGTTTTCAGGGCGTTCGGTGTCCCGAACGGCATATCGGCGGAAGTTGAAAAGTGGTGGACATGCATGCCCAATTTAGTTTCACTGGGCTCCCCATGCTCAGTAGGAGGTATTTGACGGAGTCAACCCCCAATTGGCAGGTTTCATGGGAGAATGTGTATGTGAGGTGTGTTTCTATAAGTCTGTGGGGAATTTGGGAACGTGGGCTAAGTCTACATAAACCAGGGGACTCGGAGCAGGTACCTTGACTGTGGCTCGTGCATGTTCCAGAGATGGACAATTTGAGGATCCCCGGAATTTGCCCAGATACTGGCACCGCTTCGGCTGGCGTTTGGCACTAGATCTAATTGAGCGTTCAGCATGTACTTTGGAGGTGGACGCAAGGCGATGTTTGGCCAATGAAGGGCAGCCTTTGAGGATAGGTTTCAAGTGGAAGCATTCACGATTCGCAGCCTTCCCTTACCCATGGCTTCATCTTTCCCCGCCCCACCCCGAGTTTGGACAGTGGACTTTAGCATGCGAATGTGTCAGGTGTCGATGCACCCAAAGCAACTTGGCGCATTTTGCCATGGGACACATCCCTTCCGCAGACGAATCCAGCAAGGGTCATTACCCCTGCTTGTGTAATATAAAGAGCAGATTTTGGAACACTTTCAGTGTGTGTGTGTGTGTGTGTGTGTCTGTGTCTGTGTCTGTGTCTGTGTCTGTGTCTGTGTCTGTGTCTGTGTCTGTGTCTGTGTCTGTGTCTGTGTCTGTGTCTGTGTCTGTGTCTGTGTCTGTGTCTGTGTCTGTGTCTGTGTGTCTGTGTCTGTGTCTGTGTCTGTGTCTGTGTCTGTGTCTGTGTCTGTGTCTGTGTCTGTGTCTGTGTCTGTGTCTGTGTCTGTGTCTGTGTTTGTGTCTGTGTCTGTGTGTGTGTGTGTGTGTGTCTGTGTCTGTGTCTGTGTCTGTGTCTGTGTCTGTGTCTGTGTCTGTGTCTGTGTGTGTGTCTGTGTGTGTCTGTGTGTCTTCTTTTGAGGGTGTTTTTTGCCGATTTCCGGGGGGAACACAAGGAATCCCCAGCCACCTTGGGTGACTTGTATTTGCAGAAACACCCATATGGCCCTCATATGCTCATGAATTTAGATAAGGAGCCACCTGAAAAGTGGTGGACATGCATCCCCTAAATGATGCCCACCAGCTAAAACTCATACTCATATTAGAAACCCTGTTGACTTCCCGATATGCTGACCCAGGTGCGCAGGCATGGTCAGCGAGAGCCTCACCGTGGGCGCCACTGGGCCTTGGACGCACAACGCCATCCGGCGCTGCCAGGGCATGTGGGTGCCACGGCTGCGATGGCTTCGACGAAATGGCTGTCAGACACCTCTTTCTTTTTTTTGGTCAGCGTCAGGGTACCTTTTTTGGGTTGTTGTAAAGGGAACCAGCAGGCAAAGCGAAATCCAGTTCGGGGCTCCCCATTGTATCATGCACCCTTTTAGGCACAACTAGACTCCTGCACTACTGGTGTGCCGAGGTTACCGAGAGAGCATAGCCAGGCGTGCAAAGGGCGCAGTTCTTTCTATCACGCACCCTTATAGGCACAACTAGACTCCTGCACTACTGGTGTGCCGAGGTTACCGAGAGAGCATAGCCAGGCGTGCAAAGGGCGCAGTTCTTTCTATCACGCACCCTTTTAGGCACAACTAGAATCCTGTACTGCTGGTGTGCCGAGGTTACCGAGAGAGCATAGCCAGGCGTGCAAAGGGCGCAGTTCTTTCTATTACGCACCCTTTTAGGCACAACTAGAATCCTGCACTACTGGTGTGCCGAGGTTACCGAGAGAGCATAGCCAGGCGTGCAAAGGGCGCAGTTCTTTCTATCACGCACCCTTTTAGGCACAACTAGAATCCTGCACTACTGGTGTGAGGTTACCGAGAGAGCATAGCCAGGCGTGCAAAAGGCGCAGTTCTTTCTATCACGCACCCTTTTAGGCACAACTAGAATCCTGCACTACTGGTGTGCCGAGGTTACCGAGAGAGCATAGCCAGGCGTGCAAAGGGCGCAGTTCTTTCTATCACGCACCCCTTTTAGGCACAACTAGAATCCTGCACTACTGGTGTGAGGTTTCCGAGAGAGCATAGCCAGGCGTGCAAACGGCGCAGTTCTTTCTATCACGCACCCTTTTAGGCAATCAACTAGAATCCTGCACTACTGGTGTTGAGGTTACCGAGAGAGCATAGCCAGGCGTGCAAAGGGCGCAGTTCTTTCTATTACGCACCCTTTTAGGCACAACTAGACTCCTGCACTACTGGTGTGCCGAGGTTACCGAGAGAGCATAGCCAGGCGTGCAAAGGGCGCAGTTCTTTCTATTACGCACCCCCTTTGCAGTTCTTTCTATCACGCACCCTTTTAGGCACAACTAGAATCCTGCACTACTGGTGTGCCGAGGTTACCGAGAGAGCATAGCCAGGCGTGCAAAGGGCATAACGCGCCCTTTTAGGCACAACTAGAATCCTGCACTACTGGTGTGCCGAGGTTACCGAGAGAGCATAGCCAGGCGTGCAAAGGGCGCAGTTCTTTCTATCACGCACCCTTTTAGGCACAACTAGAATCCTGCACTACTGGTGTGAGGTTACCGAGAGAGCATAGCCAGGCGTGCAAATGGCGCAGTTCTTTCTATCACGCACCCTTTTAAAGGCACAACTAGACTCCAGCACTACTGGTGTGCCGAGGTTACCGAGAGAGCATAGCCAGGCGTGCAAAAGGGCGCAGTTCTTTTTTTTCTATCACGCACCCTTTTAAGGCACAACTAGAACCAGCACTACTGTGTGAGGTTACCGAGAGAGCATAGCCAGGCGTGCAAAGGGCGCAGTTCTTTCTATCACGCACGCTTTTAGGCACAACTAGAATCCTGCACTACTGGTGTGATGTTACCAAGAGAGCATAGCCAGGCGTGCAAAGGGCGCAGTTCTTTCTATCACGCACCCTTTTAGGCACAACTAGAATCCTGCACTACTGGTGTGAGGTTACCGAGAGAGCATAGCCAGGCGTG